CACATACTTACTATTTTTATTTAAAATCCAGAAGTTGTGCTGCAACTTTTATTTCAAAAAAAGTTGTCAGCATTGCGATTCTCTTTGTACACACTCTTTAATGGATGTATGCACGTTTAAACACAATTTAAACAACGCAAGTTAGGGCTATTATTCCATGCATTACTTATATTAAGTTGCTCAAGCAAGTGGTCAAATTTACTATATTAAAATGGCAAATATTTTAAATTAAAACTTAAAATTGGCAAAAACAGCCGACTCACATCCCTTTTCTTTTGCATTTAAATTGTAATAGCCTACAATAGATCTTGCATGTCACAAAGAACTTGTTTTTCCACCTCCACGAATGAGACGAGTGTTGTTCATTATGTCGCCTTAATTGTAGTTTTCCTTGATTTACCCCGGTCTTCAGATGACTGTGAAAAATAGTAGTACCGGTATATTAAATGCATTTATGGTGAGATTACTACATTTTATTTAATGAAACGCATTTATGGTGAAATTACTACATTTTCAGGTCAATCTTTGTGCATTTTGACCACGAAACATGCGGTGTCACTTTAATGCAGCACAGCAGAAATAGATTCGGTGCAGAAACGATCGCTGCACTGCTGTTATACGTGCCGCATCTGAAACGGTGTGAAAAGTGAAAGCCCTAACCTGTTAACATGGTGATTTAGGAGCACTGCTGTGTGCCACTTTGCTCTGCTTCAAGTCGCTAACAGCCATTTGAGCTTCCACCGCTTCCCGAAAAACACCAACCTTCGTGCGCAGTGGCTGCACAAAATAGACATTTTGGGCGACGCGCGCGCAAAAAAAAAACAAAAAAACTAAGTATGTGTTTGTGGTACAGCCGCGGATCAGTTATTCACTGCAAACGCATCATATGTGAAAGTACTATAGCACGCGTTGCTCCTGCACCGCAACACGCACTGCAAACGGGGTATGTGTGAAACGGGCGTTAGATGATAGATCCACCTACAGTTCTTAGAAACTTGTGTTTAACAACTCTTTTTTTCGTACAACAGCAGCACTCATCTTGTTCGTTTATAGCGGATGCGGATGAACAGCCGTAAACCGGAAACTGACATGCCGACTTCTGACAATAGCGGAAGTTCGAAATTACGCTTGTGCACATAGCCTATAGACCAATTTTCAGTTGGTAAACATGGTGACGTTTTTATGTGGGCGGAGCTAAGGTGGTGGCAGAACGATCCCTCTGGCCGCTTTCTCTAACGTAAAGTCTGCAAGTTTTGTTAGCTTGTTTTTAACAATGACGGGAGAAAATCCGATTTTATCTTAATGTGCAAGGTCACTCACTGTCCAGGACCACGATTGTTATTTGCAAAAGTTCATTTTAATCGGACAGAACCAGATTGGCCGACCCGTACACTGAGGATCTGACAGGATTAACGTTAACGTTACCTCCGGTTGAGTGGCCTGACTTCTACACCTACCTGATAGAGAAACGGAGGGCATGTAAATCTTTAGATGCCTATAACTATGTGCTGAATGGTCATGTACAAGACTTGTGTGGTACGATCCGCAGTTCTGCCTAGCCAGCGCCGAGAAGACGACAATGTAAAGAGGGACATTGCGGTGCAATTTTAATGAGGTGAATATTTCTAGAAATTAAAATTGCAGATAAAGCATATTAATTTTTCATTGATTCTTGCACCCAACAACACAACAAGATGACATTTAATAATAAGAAGAATAATTTAAGATCCTTATTTTGTAGCCGAATCTGTGCTGGTTTGTATTTGCCGCCTCCAGTTTTCCCTTTGTTCTGCCACCAGCTAGCGCCGTGACGTAACTGTGACGTCGGCTGAAAATTGGTCTAACTCTATACCATCTACTCTGGCAAGCATACTAACTTAAGTCATGGGACTTCTACTTGTGTGCTGATCATGTGACTTTAGTAGTTGTATATTTGCCAGAGTTACTTCCTGTGTTTACAACTGAAGATTGTGTTTGAATGAAGACCGAAATGTCTTGTTAATTTGTTTTTATCTAGTCCAGTGACTTTTAATAAATTATATTTTATCATTTTATTTCCTGGATGTTTTAGACGTCATTGATCTACATAGACTATTGTGAGTCAAAGTCATGGCGCCACCAACTGGCTGCACAAAGTGTCACTTTCAAAATGCTTTGAAATCAGCCTCTTATTTTTACCCGGTTTGCTTCACACTTCATCAGAATAATGTCAAGACACTGTGTCAATAATGTGATGTACACCTGTGAAAGGATTCTTAATATCTTGAATGCTGTTGCCATGGCAATGTGTCAAACTTTAATGTTCTTTTTAGTTGTTTGAGACTCTTAGCATGCTTCAAATTGCATGAAACTTGACACGCACATCAGAGTTGTCAGCCAGTAGACATGGGCAAAGCCTTAGAAATGGGTGTGGTGGAGGGGCTCAGTACCGCCATCTTTTGACTAAAGTGGGGGGGTTAGTTTTTCCTACAGTCTTCTGTACATATGTTCTCTTGGTGGTTTAGTTTAACCCTTTCATTGCTGTATTTTGCCTGAATTACAGGATAAGAAATCTCTTAGGACTCAGTTTCGATCAGTTTTAATGGCAGAATAAACGCATAGAACCAGTTTATTTGTGGTGCACCGACGACGGTTTAAGGTTAGTGGAAATTGAGCTGCAGATGATAACTTCACACTCATTTGAAAGTGACCTAACAGCCTATAACATGAAATTCATCAATTTAAATGATCTCATGGATGTGGCTGTTGTGGTTCATAGTCATAGTGGCTCCAGCTAATGTGGCATATTCAAACGACTTTGATGTAGTTCTTATATATTTACCCACTGTAAATGCATACGCCATGCCCAGTTGTCCTAAAACCACCAGGGTGGATATAATCTTTTTTTTTCTTCTTTTTTTGAGAAAATGTGTGGAAACTGGAAATCGTTGATGTTCTTATGGTCGCGAACAAGCTGAGCAGAGTATCTTATGAGCCCCTCTCGACCTCCCGATCATTTTTAAACCTGTTTTAAAAATTCAGAGTGTCAGCCTGATTTTGATCAGTATAGGCTGTCACCTATTTCCAAATCATAACAACTTCGTCACGTATGCTAGATCTATGAATATTAAAGCCCAGTGGCTGCCACACCCAATACTCTCTCGTTGTTTTCGTTGAAAGGAATTGCTGTGCTGTTCTCTGCTTTTCACCAAATCATTTGCACACTTTTTTTCTTTTTTCTTTTGTCCCTATCCTAAGCTATAGGAGCAAACCGCTCCAGTCTTCGTGTTTGGCACGAAAGCTCGGCTAGCCGTACAGTTCTGCAGTGTACCGGCTGCTTTGACATTTATCAGGTTAACTGACTCGCAACGTGTGCAATGGTGCACAAACTCCCAAATGTCTGAACATGGTGTACGCCCGCCTTTAAGGTCTTTCCCATTTGTTTCCTATGATTGGTCAGGTTTTTTTTCTGTCGAGCAACTGGTGTAACTTATTGACCACAGACTCATTGAATGATTTATCTTTTCTCAGATTGTATATCCAAAAAAAGTCACCCTAGTTTCAAACCACTTCGATTGAGGAAACAAAAAAAAAGGGAGAGAGAAAGAAAATCGGTCAAATTACAAAAGTAAATCTAACGTGCTGTAATCTCATTTGCTTCCATTTTTCCAAACTTGGCTAAAATTGCATTTAGGAGCGCTCTGAAAATTCCCAGGCTACAAATTGTTTACGCAGACGTGAAATGCTTTTTACAAGTTGGAATCTTGCAATATAGACATAGCATGAACCTTTAGGATCTGGCAGAAGGAGCTGTGCATACCTGCGTGTGCGCTTAAGGTTTTTGAGAGAGATGACTGGTGATTTATTGGTAAAAATGTGACTGATCAGCAATACCATTCCCCACCCCCTCCCCTCTTTTTCTTTTTCTTTTTTTTTGGCATCTGGTCGGAAAACTCAAACTGAATGAGTGGTTCTTTGTTGGAGTCTGAATTTGCTTCCACCCATTTGTTATTGCGAATTTGGCTCAGGACAGGTCAAGGAGAACAAACTGTGGAAAGTGAGTGCGGGATCACAGATGCTGCTCTTCTCTGCTGTTTGTAGTATTACAAAGTGTTGCCAGGTGCACCAGCAGGACAGAGTGATCAGTACTTGAAATGACTAGTTAATTCTTAACTTTGATTTGGAAGGAAAAATCGATTAAAAACACAGATGATCCATAAGAGAAAGTGGCATTTGTCAGCTTGATTGTTGTAACTAGTTGTTGAATGTCACATTAGATTATTTGATTTTGAAGAAACCCACGTGACCACAAGCATTTGTTGTGTAGACACTGACATCAACATGCAGATGACAGAGCACGTCTAGTTCAGTTAAAACGCAAACTTTACTAAAATACTTTCTGTTAGTAACTTTAATAAAAAAAAAAAAAATTGTGTACCGTGTGTATATATATTATTCTTTTCCCTCTAATTAATAGCTTAAATTTTAGCTGTGAAGTCAAGATATTACTTAAGTCATGGAATGCAAAACAGTGATTGGTTTAATTTTTTTTAAAGCATTCTTGCCAATGCATCGAAATTGTCAATCATTCTGGCAATTTAAAAAATTCAACAGAATTCACAACAATAGTTATACATTCAGAAAACCAGCATTAGCATTAATAAATAAGGCATAAAAGCACAACTAGCCAGTGAATAACAGATTAACTAACCTGAAATGCACTCACACTGACCCTGGATCAGCAGAACATCATCATCGCTCAGTTCCGCATGTTACTGCGCGGTGTAAACCACAATGTGTGTCTCGGCTGATCACATGATTGGATCACCAGAGATTAATAGCAGGTGTAAACTGGGTCTGACTCTGGATTTCCTCCTTTTATTAGCAGTTGTACAGATGCAATTCATCACGCGTTCAAAGTACAGCGATGCACCTTTAAAATGGATAGATAGCGAAAGAGATCCTGAGGGTAATGAGGGAGGGACGGGGAATGTTTAGTGGCTCACATGTCACGTATACAGGAGATAAACACAGGAAGTAGAGCAAGCCTTTTTAATTCGCTTGATCCCTCCAGAGCTCCTTGTGCCCGTGAGTGCGTGCAGATTTTTCCCATGGGATGACCAGTGACGACTCGTGGGATCTGGAGAGCTGGGGCTGGACTGTACTGTGTGTTCTTTTTTTCTTTGTTTGAATATTTATTGATAAAGCATTAGCCAGAATCCAGATTTTTTTTGCACAATTAATTTAAGGCTGGAACTTTAGCAGCGGTAAGCTGAAGTTAATTCTACATTGGCAGGTTACTGTTTAGCGTGTTTTGCTCAGCAGCTGCTGTCTGAATGGCCTTTGTCATACTGTCAGACCTCAAGCAAGCAGAACTGCTCCAAAGTTCACAGACGTGAATGCTGGGATTGTTCCTGGAGAGATGGCAGTGGCTTCTGCCCATAAACCATTGGCACTGTCTGATTGGAAACATTGAGTTTAGAAGTGAGGACTGCACAGTTAGTGGAAAATGACCAGACCCATTGTTTAGTTTTTAGTGTATTGCTGTGATGTCTTAAGTGCGTTGTTTACAGGTTTGGAGTAAATTCTGTCTTCAGCATTTTTTTGTGGTGTTCATCAGCTGTTCTGTCCAATCAGAATAGAAGTTTTATCCCTGGAGTCTGAGGTGGTTTCTGGGCCCTGGAGATGTTTTGACATGCCCTGACATTTGTGCTTGTTTCTGTTACTTTAATGTGTTAAAGTACCAGACTTAAAGTAACAGTAACTTTAATGCTTATTACTGTAACATTTTTTGTGACTAAAGTCTGATTACACTTTGTTCAGCATAAACTTTGTTACAATAATATGTAAAAAATATATTTGCTTGGTCTTCACTCAATTGAACTCTACACTGATTCTTAATAAATATATTAAATGCGATCACAAATTCAGTTTTTACGCATTGTTGCACTTGAGTGGTCAAATGTAAAAAAAAAAAATATATATGTATATATATATATAATTATTTAGTTTTTCCCACAAAGACATGTATATATCATATATACCGTTCTGTGCTTCGAGGACAGAGACCATCTCTTGTCTAATATCTTTATCTTCTCCTGATGTTCATGTGCAACTTGTTGTAAAAGGTCTGAAGAGCAAATATCTTCCACAGGTCAGGTGTAAGACATTTAGGATATATTTGATGTTGCGTTGCAAGTAAAGTGAAACTAAATTACTGGCATGTGGGAAATGCGCTTTACCAAGTTTAATAACAAGGAAAAACTGTTAAATAAAATTTGATGTGCAAGTAAAAAGGAATCTTTCCTACAGCGTTTTTCTACTTTGCCAATGTAAAGGATCCACTTAGTTATTAAAAGTGAATGAAAGAAATACCTTTTTATATTCCCCTTCGAAAATCTGTGAGATGCGAGTGAAGATTTGGCAAAAGAAAGAGATTCCATGTCCAGCTGATGGAATGTAGTTAAATTCGTGGAAAATCAGGTGACCAGATCGCAAATCCGAATACAAAGCCGACATGGCTGAAATTTATGGACTCAAGTACCTCTTATTCGGCACAAATCCAAATGTTTCCATGGTTGCGATCGATTTAAAATTTAATTGCAACTTATATTTATTTTGTGAACAAGGCTATGTGCGTATTTGCATGCAGAGAAAGAAAATGTGATTTCCATAGAAGATAATTTGGGAGGAAATGAAAACACAGAAAGAGTTCAGCATTTTTATCATGTCATGTTTGCTTAGTCAGTGAATTTGTGATTCTTTTGTTGTTATAGGTGATATGCAATTGTAATGCAGGTTACAGACCTGGAACTATTTCATAGCTGTGTGTTTGCTAAAAAATAATTGCACCTTAGAACATTTGTCCACCATTCATAATCAGGCATTCAACAGTCCAATGGTATAATTGATAGTCTGATCTGTAGTAGCTGATGTTTATAAGTCTGGCACCTTTTTTTTTTTTTTTTTTCTCTCTCTCTATCAGTTCCAGCTACTCTTCAGTGCTAGACTTTGAGAGCGAGCTCAGGATTGGGCCCGTCTACGAGTCACCCAGGATGTCCAGACGCAGTCTCCGTCTGCACACCACCACGGGTCAATATGGAGACGACAGTTTGCTTGACTCGGCACTCCACCACAGCGCCCCCTACAGCCGTGATAAGTGAGTACAGTTTGCACATGAAAATCAGCAGTGGATTAAGCAACAGGATGTAACTTTTAATGTTGACAAGTTTAGAGAAGACATCAATGATCAACTGAAATTGGAGAAGATGCAGAGAAAAGCTACAATTTAAATTGCATGAAGTTTTTCCAGTTGCATTTCAGAACTAAAACTAAGTTGTTGTTTTTTTGTCTTGGAGCTTAAAGGCTGGAATCCACTAGATGCCTTTTTAAATCTGAACAGATTTTAAAGGGGTCATGAATTGAGAAATCAAAATTATTTGACATGTAAGAGGTCATTTTACTGTAAAAACATTCTGCAAGTCCAAAAACGCCTTATTGAAACCAATTTCAGAAAACCAGCTTCTTTGGAATTGTCACATTGACGTAATAGTGCGGCAAAAGACCGCCTCTAAAGACCGAATCAATTCAACGCCAATGCGGAAATCATTGTGTCTTTGTCCCTGCCCCCTGGCACACGCTGTTTACTGTGTGCGCACAGAGCCACGCAGACAGTGTAAACACCGAATTCATTTCTCTTTCTCTTAATTTTTCTATCTTTGTTCTATTGTGTTTATCTATGCTTGTTGTTTGTTGTCAGATGCACTACCCTACCTCAATCATCCTAGGATGTTTAGTTCTTTACAAAAAGAGCTATTTGTCTGGTGAAATTGTTCATATCGCAATGTCAGTTTTCTTCTAATATCCTGCAGCACTACTAGGCGATGTATGCATCATACTGTTGCCAATTTTGTAAGTTGATACTGAGGAAAAACTCTGCATCATATGCTAAGCGACTGAGTGTCACATACTTAATGACTCCATTCCACACACAACAATCTCAAGCACTCATTGATGGGTGCATGACAGATAAAAATAAACATGTAGGCTATGTACAGGAGCTGAATGGAGTCGTGTTGTATTGAGTCATGCAAAAAAACAAGCCAAGTGCATTTGGGTGCGGTCTTGATCTCAATTGCCTGTACAGATTGCAACAGGAGTTGGAGGTAAATGTCATTAAGTTAAGAAAGGTGTAGACTTTGATACGTGTTCTAAATTTGGCTCAAAATATTTGGTATTCCCCAATTAGATGAAATAGTCTGAAGCTTAAAAAAATCTTAGTCTGTGCCCATCGTACGCTACAAAATACGCAGACTTTTATTTTGACCGTGCTTCGAGCACAGCAGAAATAATCAATAAATCATTTTTTGTATATGTATAAGCACATTAGCTTTATATCAACCATCAAAAAATCTGTATCGATTCATCACTAATATAAAGACATATTTTGGTTCTGTGGGCATAAGAAAAATGTACACTTATTTCAAACTCCCATTTATCTACATTTTTTCTTTAATTCTGTCTCTTTCTGTTGTAGGACTCTAAGCAGAAGAGCTTATCACTCTGTTTTAGGGTCAACACAGATTGTTCAAACACCAAGGTCTGCCACACCGTCAGTCCTCCAAGCCCATTACAGCACCATCAACAGCTGTGCGCCCAGTGATGGCTCTCTGCTGTCCTCTCTGCTAGATGAGTCCTCTATACAGGAACGCACTGTAGTTGACAGCTTCTGGGGTCAGTGCCAGCGGGCCAATGCTATACTCTATAGTTTAAATGAATTAAGATTGATGGACAGCTGAAGCATTGATTTGTGAATTTATTTATTTTTTTATTTTAGGTTTGGACGAAGACCGTGACATCAAGGGTAAGTATGTGCTCCAGCTGAACGCATGCTCTTAGATCAGAGTAACAGTTTGGTAAAACAGTTTAAAAAAATATATATTTTCTTTTGAATAGGTTAACATTATAGCCAATGAACAAAGACACACCATGAGTTCATATAATGTTTTTAGTAATGTGCTTCTATTGAATGGGTGGATGGAAAAATAGAGGGATGGAGAGAGGGGTGGATGGAAAGATAGAGGGATGGAAAGGGGATTGGATGGTAGAGGAATGGATAGTAGATGGAATGAAAGAATGGAGGGAGGGATAAAAGGATGGAGGGATAGGTGGAGAGAGGAATAGATCTTGGTATTAGTAGTTTGTTCATCAATATAGCTTTTTTTTTTATGTTGTGATTTTTATCTTGTGGTTGGTTTTGGTTGAACTATTTTGGCATTTTTATTTCAGACCAAACTATCATTGCACACCATAGCACAGTGGAGGCCAAAACACAGACTTCTACAGCACAGAACGGCTACATCTGCAAAGACTGCCCCATCACCCCTCCCTCCAAGAACAACAGTTTCCTTCATAATGCTCCTGGGCATCAGCTGTCGTTAACGGAGACACCCAGCACAGCTTCCTTTCCAAACACTACATTGTACTGCAGGGACAACAATCGCAGACACAAGCCAGGTGAGTTTGAAAATCCAAAAGTAGTCTTTTACACACCTGCAGTGTAAGAGCATTTCTGTCCCCCTTTTTTTTGGTATTTTGAAGCACATTACATTGTGGGGATACATTATCCATGTGTTCCTAATGTAGTGCAAACTCAACTGTCTTTGTCACGTCCATGTCGTCAGGTTTTTCCTGGTGTCTGGAAACGCGCCTCATGAGTCTGTCCGTTCTTTGGATGCTTCTGTGATAAGATGTCTGTTATAAGTAATATTGAAGGAAACGAGCAGGCTTGACTTCATTGTGTCTCCAGGGGTACTGGGGATGTTGGTTGAGATGTTCCTTCATAGCAGCGGGCAAATTGCTGCATTTGTGGTGTACATATGCACACTGCTGATGCAGATGGCTCTACTCAAAGGTATCAGCCTTTTAGTCTGGTGTTCACCTCTGTGGTTTGTGGTGTTTCTCACTGGATGGTGTATGCCTGTTTGGGAATCTTTCACCTGCTACAACATGTTTTCACTGTCAGGACATAAAACTAACTCAATACTTAAAGGTGCACCATGCTGAAAGCCCCCCCCCCCCACAAAAAAAAAAACATTTCTTATGATCCACTTGAAGTGTTAGTGTTTAGACACTGCCCTGTGCCTGTATTTTCTTAAATCTTTTTTTTTTTTTTTTGCTTTGCCTGGGGTGTTTTTGGACTACCAGTGGGCTTGTAGCCCCAGCCAATAACGAGGCACGATGCGGGTGAGGACGTGACTTTATCGTCTGTGTCTGAAGCTCAGAATCTCTGTTTAGTTCTCCTGCCTCAACAAAAAAAACAATTTGCTAGTGTTTCTGTTGCCTTATTGACTGCTATCTGTAACTTGACTGATTACTAAACATTGTAATTGCGTTTTTATGACGACCCGTAATTGTTTATTAGCGAGCTAGACTGAAGGTGGCTAAACTTGCTCACAAATTGCAAAATTTCTGCATGGTGCGCCTTTAATGTTTTTACATTTTTCACTAGTTTCTTCACTTTAATAGGGACGTTTTACACCTCTGTAGATATCAAGAGGATAGTAACCTCTTGTCTAATCTCACGGTTTCTCTTTCAGGGTTAAGTAGATACTCTGAACCATTATAAAGACATTTAATGCAAGTACATGTGCTCGAGTGAAGTCTGCAAAATTGCAAACATTGGGTGCTTCTCAATATCCCTCCTCGTCTCCTCGCTCCTCCGTCCTCCATCCTATGACCCGGAAACCGATCGAGCTCAGCCATCTTGAAGGACATCTCAATTCTCTAATTGCACCGCGAGGAGGCGAGGATCGAGGAGTGAGGAGGCTTCCAGAGGAGCTATGAGCGAGGATGCACAGTTGCATGCTTTGCGGAAGTGTTTTATCGACTAAACGTGACGCACGTATCAATTCTCCTCCCCTTCACGTCGGTCACAATCATTTTAATTTATACTTTACCTTTGCAGTTTATATAAACCACACATCTCACATATTTCAACAGGGTATCTTGCTTTATTATTATTTATTACTAATTTCTTAAATAACCAAAATTCTACAACATAAGGGCAGATCCTTTGAGCGCTGCTGATGACGCAGTGAAGTGACGCTCGAGTGGTCAAGTATTCCAAAGTATTAAAAAAACATTCCTTCGATTCCTCTGTCCTCGTTTTCTTTCCTTGCAGCCTTCCCTCGCATCCTGCAGGGGGTGGAGCTGAGACGCAAGGAAAGGAAACGAGGAAAGGAAACGAGGATGCACAAATAAGAAATGAGAAGCACCCTTTGTCTGATTGTACGTGCTTTAATGTAGTGAGACATCCGTGCTCAAGGGGGTGAAAATATAGTTTGAGTTTAGCAAAAATTAATTGTAAAAACCTGACATTGTTTTTACCATTATTTTAGTTTTTTCCTTGCCATGAAAATAGTCACAGAAGCTTATATGGCATTGAAAAACAAACAAAACTCAAGGGGGCGATATTTACCTTCAAATGTCTAGACTCTAGAATGCTTTTGTGTTCATGTACTTGCATAGTTTGTTTTGGGACTTGGACCATGTACTAGGCTATATACTGTACTGAGCTCAGGGACATGCAGAGAGTTCCTCAAGGGCAGGGGCTCAAATGTAAAAAAAACTATATATATATATTTGGGTGGGTGGGTGGTGAGCGCAATGGATAAGACACATGACTTTGGTGTGAGAGACCCGGGTTTGAATCCACTGTGAGACACCAATGTGTCCCTGAGCAAGACACTTAACCCCTAGTTGCTCCAGAGGCATGCGACCTCTGACATACAGGTGCTGGTCAACGAATTAGAATTATTTTAAATAGTGCAATCATGCAATTCTTTGAATGCATTTTTTGTGCAGAAAGCAAATCAGGTGTTCACCGCACCTGTCCTACTCGTTAGACTAATGACAGAACTCGTTATCTGGAAAAAAATTTGCTCAGCTGAGCTTTCCAAAAGGCCCATTTAGGCCATTTAACTGTGACACTGTTGTTTTATTGAATTAGAATAATGGTGAAAGCGTTTCATTGAATTGCAATAATTTTTATTATAATTACAATCATCACTTTCTCAGTATTTTGTGGCTGCCCCTTTGGCTTGTATGACTGCCTGAAGTCTCCGCGGCATCGATTTGACCAGCTTGTCGCAAGTTTCCGCACTCACAGCTTCCCAGGCAGTGGCGATGTTCTGCTTCAGTTGGTCCAGCGTAGTAGGCTTTCTGTCGCGAATTTTCCGCTTGACGATGGCCCAAAGGCTTTCAATGACATTGAGGTCAGGCGAGTTGGCCGGCCATGCCAAAACTTCAAGCAGTTTTTTAGTGAACCAATCTTTGGTCGACTTTGCCGCATGAGCCGGTGCAAGATCCTGTTGAAATATGAAGTCTTCTTCGCCGAACTGTTCCTCAACAGTCGGAATCAGGAACGTTTCCAGAACATCTTGATATACGGCAGCATTGACAGTCTTCTTGAGGAAGCAGAGTTTCCCTACACCTCGAGCGGACATGCATCCCCAGACCATAACGCTCTGGGGAAACTTGACGGATCTTTTCACGCACTCGTGGTTGTAGGTTTCGCCACCACGACGCCAGACACGAGGACCTTGGTCACCGAAGGAGATGCAGAAGCGTGATTCGTCACTGAAGACCACTTTCTGCCAGTCTTCAGCAGTCCACTCGCCGTGTTCTTTGGCCCACTTCAGCCGTTTCACCATTTGTTTCTTGTTCAGCATCGGTTTTACTGCTGGAACGCGAGATTTGAAGCCGAGTTCGCGCAGACGACGGTAAGTGGTTGATCTGGAGACGTCAGCGCCGGTCTGCTTGTTCCACAAGTCGGTGAGCTCGGAAGTGGACTTGAACCGGTTGCTGACTGCGATCTTTCTCAGCTGCTTGTTGTCGCGAGCAGAAGTTTTTCGGACGCCGGAACAGTTGGTGCGCTTGCTGCAGTTTTTCTTGAGAGCTTTGCAGACGGAAGACTGGCTGATGCCGAGCTGCTCAGCAATTTTAGTTTGGGTCAAGCCTTGTTGGCGAAGGGCTTGAATTTGAGCCACTATTCCGGTTGAGAGGTCGCGCTGCTTACCCATGATTGATTTTACAACTTAGAAATTCTACTCAACCCTGACTTTATACTGCACAGTGAACACTCTTCACAGAAAACAAAAATTTGAGCATTTATTCTAATTCAATGAAACGCTTTCACCATTATTCTAATTCAATAAAACAACAGTGTCACAGTTAAATGGCCTAAATGGGCCTTTTGGAAAGCTCAGCTGAGCAAATTTTTTTCCAGATAACGAGTTCTGTGATTAGTCTAACGAGTAGGACAGGTGCGGTGAACACCTGATTTGCTTTCTGCACAAAAAATGCATTCAAAGAATTTCATGATTGCACTATTTAAAATAATTCTAATTCGTTGACCAGCACCTGTATATAGCAATTGTAAGTCGCTTTGGATAAAAACGTCAGCTAAATGAAATGTAAAATATTTGTGTATATGTACCGGTCAAAAGTTTGGACACATTACTTTTTAATGTTGTTTAATTGAAGTCTCTTGCTCATCAAGCCTGCATTTATTTGATCAAAATACAAGAAAAAAACAATATTGTGAAATATTACTGCAATTTAAAATAATGGTTTTCTATTTTAATATACTTTGATACTACTTTTCAGGATTCTTTGAATAAAAAGTTTTGTACCAATATACACTACTGTTCAAAAGTTTTGGGTCAGTAATTTTCTTTCTTTTTTTGAAAGAAATTAATACTTTTATTCAGCAAGGATGTGCTAATTATCATGGTTTGAGAGGGGCACTTTTGATTAATTTTAAATAAGGGCTTGAGCACCCAAAGCACCCCCCACCCCACCCCCACCCCCACAAGATGTTCTCCACAACCACTGTCACTCGCTCTCTGCTTGGTCATTGTGATTTTTGCTGCGTTAGAGATATACCTTGATTTAATATCTTTTGTTGATCCTGTAACAACGTTCCTGTCCAAAAACAGTGATGACCCCATCCCTAAACCTAACCCTACCCATAACTTATCCCTAAAACCTGAGGTGAAGAAGATGAAGAATGATAGGTGAAATAAGAATGGTGTAGAAGCCCCTAACCCTTGTTGTAAGCCTAAACTTTACTATCAACCAATCAGATTTGATGGATAGTTTTACAGTTTATGTGATGTTCCAGGATCAACAAGGATGTTGAATTCAGGAACATGTTTTACTTGGTGAAATCGCATTCACAATCTCGGTCCACAGTCTCTCCAGACAGCTCCATCAATTTGACCATCAAACCTTATGTGTTGGTTTAATATCAGTCTATTTCTCCAGGCCTGCTGTTATCAGTGTTTCACTGGTTTGTGCGGGTGTGTAATGGAGTTGCTCGCTCCACAGCCACTGTGCTGAAGAAGATGCTGCAGTCTGTTCAGCAGAAGAGAGCTACAAATGGCTGTACTAACAGAGGTATTGACTTTTCAGACCCTCTGGTGACTGGATTATGTCCACCTAACCTAACTACTGTGCACACTGTACAAACAACCAGAAATGTCATCTTAAAGAACTCGCACTCTTAAAGGTGACACATTTTGCTCTTGATATCACACCCATTAATTTCAAGAGAAAATTATTCATTTAGGGATTTTGAGGCTATTTTTATCTGGGATTTATAGAAATGTTTGATCATTGGTTCTCAACTAGGCTCTTGATCGGTGACTGACCTGTTCTCTGCAGCAAACGATTACAGGAACGCTTCTAAATAATATACTGCTGGACGGGGGCTTGTTTGAGACTAGGAAAATACTCCTTAAAATATTTGTCTACCTTAAATCTTTCAGTTTAATAATCTGGTCCTCAAAGCAAATGTAATTGAGGAGCCTTGATGTAAATGGCCCCTTTCTGGTATCCTTGCAGGCATCATGCAAAAGTTACCGGCTTTACTTCGTCTTGAAATTGAAGTTGCAATAATGGATATAATCGTGCGTAACCCAGGTTAGTAAGTGGTTTTTATCACTGTTGAAGTCACCCTAAAGGTGAAGTATATCTTTGTCACTTGTGGCATTGAATAGAACTTAAATGTTTTCAAACATACCGAACACAACAGAGGCCATTTTGTTATTATTTTATGGCTCAACAGTGTTCCAGTGTTCACATTAGTAGCCTTATAGTAAAAATGACCATCGCTTTTTCATTTTTATCTGTTCTTAGGAAGTGTAATATATAGAGCACTTTCCACGAATCGAGTTAATGCGTTTATCCAAAATTTGTCAAGATCTCTACAAAAAAAATCACCCGAACACTTTCTTTAAATCATTAAGTTGGTTGAGGAATCCATGTGACAATCACTTTTAGGTTTTACCCATCAGCAATCCCATGGTGCCTTGGGGTATGCTGAGCAGCTGTTTCCTGATGGACCTTTCTCACCCTCTCTCACTCATTTAACAGGCCGCTTTAGTCTCCACATGTCTTCCATGGTGTTTGACTGCCTACATCCACTATAACCTTAAACTTTTCTTCCCCTGCAGATGTTCTGCGACGCATGATTACACTGTGCATAAACAAATGTGCCTCTCCACTATGAGCACTGCCTTGGTTACATGCAAATCTCTTTCTGCTCGAGTCTGTCTTTGCAGAGCTATGATTGGAGGGATGGAGAGAGACTGGTACAGAACTCTTGGTTTTATCTAATGTTTGTTTGTTCTCTTTGTGATCCGTCATAGGCAATGAGAAATACTACAGCAGTATGAGTGTTAAAGAGGTAGTGCTGCAAAAGGAGCAGCCAAAGTTCAGCGGCATACTGTGTAAGTACACATTCTTGACTTTCAGGTATTTTTCCACTTAAAGTTGCTACTATAGGAAAGTCATACAGGTTTGCAATGGCATGCTATTAACTGTGCTAATTGATTATGCTGCCTGTTTAGATGCCTTTCCTTTGGGCAAACTGTAAAACAATATCACATCGAGTTGGACAAAGCGATAGAAATGTTGATTTACAATTCAAAATGAAACAAACATAATTGTAGTCAGTGCATCAAAATGCCTATGCTTTTTTTACACAATCAGCCGCTTATGTGATTCCAATTCAATTACAATTGGTGATTGAGAAATACTGCCATGCAAATTGGATCCCTTACCCTGGCAAATAAATCAGTGTAGATATAAGTTTAATCCGCCCTCGGAAAGCCACGGTTACGGTGCATCGACATTGGTAACTGGAAAAACTGATTGTTTAAATGTGACCTTAGAAGGTTGATGCCTAGACAGGCTCACTGGGTTGTGTAGCAGAGCCTGTTGTATACCCTCATGTATAATGGTAGTGATGCATATATGAATGTAGGCATCACTGGCTCAGTGTTTGCACACTAAACACTGTTACAGCCTCTTTAAAATGTTTACAGTGGTGGACATCATTGGATGAAGACGGCAGCAAAACAATTGTAGAAGTAGAACTTTAGCCTACAGATTATTCATTTTCAACCGTACACTGATCCTAACAGGTGATGACTGCAAAAGGAAACATAATTTTGCAAAGGACATCCAGTCTTCCCAGGAACAGAAGCCTGTAGGGACATTATGGTGGCTCATAGTTTTTACAGGTTATATGCTCATCACTTACCCTCAATCCTGGTCCTTCCTAGAGCTTCTGGTTTGGAAATGGTGGGCAAGCCAGTTAATGCTCCTGTGAACTCCTTCCCCGCATCAATGTCTTTCAGGTTGTTGTCAGGGCAGTTTGTTCCCTAGCAGTTGTGGGTTTGTCCTGGTGAAGAGCTTTCAGACATCCTTGCATGGCTACTTTTGCTTTATCCTCTCCCCCTTTTTTTTTTTTTTTTTTTTTCTGTGGTTCTGATTCCGTTTGGGACTCACCTGCATGTCCACTCGGTGTAGTTATAACATTCCTTTTTAGTTTTGCTCTCAGGACCATATTAATTTATTTGAGGGTTGCGTACGTTTGCTGTTACCCTCTTCAAACCCTTTGCTGTTTTTAGGTGGAGTGTCTTTTCTTGATATGCACCATGTAATTTTTTTCAGCCGTATTCAATACTACACCAAATATTTATGTGCATTGTGCAATAGTTTTTATTTACAGATACAATGGGGTCAAATCTGACATGACAAACGAACCCCCTCCAGTTTAAATCTGGAAATAAAATCTTTATATTTAAAACATGCGATAAAATGAAGAGATATTCTTCAACATGCTGTTGAAGTCAGTACTCCAATGTAAGCAAATTAGTGATATTGGGGATTGGGGATATTTTTTTTATTTTTATTTAACAGACTGACTAAATGGATTTTCTTCAATTGAAGCACAAGATGCTCTTTGCCGTTTTCTCACATTTATAAAAAAAAAAATTATCGCGTGTTTTTCACATGGCAATTTTTCATCCTGTCTGTCCTTAAATGTAAACTGGCCCTATTTTGCTGTTGTGCCTTTAAGAAATTTATGTAAACATCCTCTTTGCATGTGAAATTCTGCCCTTGCAGTGAGTCTGGTTTCATCATTTTGAACTGCCCCATCCCTTAATTTTAGCCTCTGTTTCAGAGCAAGATATTTAGATTTTTAATGAATGGATAGGATGTTTTGAAGTTTTACAATATTTTCATAGTACAATGAACTCTTGTCATAAAATCAAGGAAAACACTTAGACCTTTAAGGCAAAATGTGGGCGTAAGACGTAAGTGTTTGTCACCCTTTCCCTCAGACTACATTGACTGACATCTTACATTGTTTATTTAGAAAAATGTAAAATGGAAGTGTTTTCAATAGTCTCAAATATCTGGAACTTCCTGTACAGTATATTTCATGTACTCTAATTTTAGGAGGCCTGTCTTTTTACAGGATGAATACTAATAAGTGCAAAATCTGTGCAGTTTGTCAGCTTTTTTCCAATCTCTTGTGAATGAGCATGACTTCCCGCTGTGCACCCTAACCCCAATCTGTGCTCTGGATTAGTGTACACACTTCACAGTCAGTCTTTACTCATGTTTGACTCTGTGTGTCTGTTTCCAGGGAGGGCAACCTCAGGAAGTTTCTTTTGGCTTGTCAATTTCTTTGCAAAGTAAGATGTGTTTGTTTTTTTCCAAAAAAAAAAAAAATTCTATAACTGGCAGTAGCTATGTTTCTATCCAAAGTTGTGAATTTAACTGATGCACAACTAGAATATCGCAAAAAATATTTGCCATTTAAAGCGTTTCCGTCCCATGTGTTCAAGAGAACAAACCCACTTCCTGGGAAATTGGTGCAAAATATCTGTAATAAAATTGGAAGTTGCAATTGAGCATATAAGGTTTTTTTTTTTTTTAGACATATTTTAATTTAGGTGCATTTTGCCATTTTAATCCACCCTGTGGTTTTGTTTTTTTAAGTAATATCCCAAAATGCGCATGAAAATAGGTGGATGGATGCATAGCTAGTGTCTAATGCATGTCCAGTCAGTGTGGTTATATAATGGTTATTCATCATTTGATTTATTGTTAATGTAAACAAGCTTGTCAATTTAATAATTTCATATTTTGAGCAGTGGCCAAAACACTGCCAGTGTGTTGGAAGTACAACGGGACTAACAAAATGTAACCTGTCACCATCTTCTCTTCCAGGTCTCTCCCTATGCTTTCAAAAGTCCTATTTCTTGTACCTTTCCTTCTGTTCTTCGGTGAGCATACCATACTATTTGTGACTGGCTATTGGTCTAAATGGAAATAAAATCCTGCGTCATCTTTCCACGTGTTTCTTCTGTGCTGTTCCTGATAGCTCTCTGCTACTGGGGGCCTTCTGGACTGGTGGCCATGCTGCCTGCTGTTAATGTGATGGAGTGGAGGGACTCATCCCATCTCAACCCTCCGATCATGGGCGACTCCGAGAAGGGACAAACTCCCACTGACACGGCCTCTCAGGTAGTATTTAGCTTTCAAGGTTTTACTTGGGTATTCTAGCTAGTTAAGTAGACTTTACAAATACCAAAATATTATTACTACACCCTTGCTTATAATCATAATATATATATATATATTAATAATAACAATAACACTAGGCATATAATCAACATTTTAAAAGCATGATTTCCACCACAGGGGCTCTTTAACATTTAATGGCACGTTAAAAAATATATAGAAATAAGAATATCAAGTGTAAAAGTTGAGCCAAGGAGTCTTGGGCAGTCTCATCCCAGTAGTAGGGCACTATGACCAGTTTTAATTTTGTCAAGTAAATGAGCAAATGTTTTTATTTCATTTTAATGTTCTGGTTGATGCTAAACATAGATTAATGTTACCATGTAAAAGTATAAGCACATCGTTCTTAAGATTGGCATCTTTCCCCCATCTTCCCCTACCATGTCTCACTCCTCCCAGAGGCCCTCTGTGCTGTCAGTAGAGGCAGAGAGGCTGATGCATTTGGAGGAGAGCTTGTCTCAGCTGTGGGATCGAGTGGCTGGGGGTTTGCTCAGGCAGGAAGAGCAGCACACTGAAGTGCTCAGTCTGTATAACACGCTGCGATCAGAGCTTCACAGACACACAGACAGAGAGAGCCTGGGCCAGTGGATAGGAGACCTGCTGGAGGAGAGATTCAGCCTGCTGAAGGGAGAAGTGCAGAAAGAGGCCAAGAACACGCAACAGGTGACATCATGCGTAATCCCAAAAAGCCTATTGCGTCATTTATGCACATTTCTAAGATCTCTAAATTATCAACATGATCAAAACTTTGACGAAAAACCTGTTAACCTTTCATCTGATTAATAGTTCATACTGGTTTTTAGCAAGTAAAAGGCCTTTTTTATTATAATTGTAATGTCCTCCAGGTCGTGGTACACTTGTCTTTTTGTGGTGAAATCTTTACAGATATTTATATAGTAGACGTAAGAATAACTTTTATATTGTTAAAAATAGTGGGATTGGTTTAATACAAAATTTTTAGAAAAATCATGTTCAAATGTGAGTATCAAATATGATACATCAGGCTTATGATTATGATCTCTCAATCATCATTGCATTGGTTGTTTGACTTTGTATCAAAAACTAAGCATTTAAATATAAGACATAGTATTGGGAGATATAGTGACAACTGATATTTTTATGCACGTAGTCTGCTATACTGTTAGTCACAGAAGCCATTAGAATACACTTCTGACAGTTTGAACATTAAAAATACAAATTGAGTTGCTGAAATTATCTTTGTCAATGTTAAAATGCTGTAATATTTATGAATTTGATTATGTACTTATCCACTTCGTTGCAAGTGCAGTGTGCTTGCATAGAGCCTGCACACACACTCTTCTGATTGGCTGGGTTTTTTTTGCGTCTCATAGTTGCAGAGAAATTACTGGAATCTTATCGCATTGCATCTGGTAAGAGTAACTTCAAGAACAAAAAAAAAAATTCTGCCCCCAAACTTGTGAACTGTAGTGTATATTATTATCTGGATATTTCTCAATTTTTATGAAGTTCACGTTAAAAGAGTAACTTGGGTGAGCTAAACTCATTCCCAGCTGTGTAGAGCACAGAGACGACTAGAGATTAACATCCTGACATAACATTAACATAATATTGTTCTTGGTTTAACAGCATTCTTAACATGTTTATTTTCAGTTATATGTTATGTAATACCTTTTTTTTGTGATACATTCAGTTAATTGAAGAATGCTTAAGTCCTTGTTTAGCAAATGAATTAGTTCCTGATTTGATCTTTTTTTTGCTTCTGTCTGCAGCGTCAGGAAAAGCACGCAGAAGAGCAACAGTCAGAGAACACTCGACTCGCTGAAGCTGAGGCTCTGCTCCAGAAATTGGCACGCAAAACTGAGGTGTGTGACATTCAAATTGTACCAGGAACACACAAGGTGGTTTATATCAGCATGCTGCAGGATTTAGTTTGTTGTGAAAGGCTCTAAACCACTGGCCCAAAGTTACTCTGAACTTTCACATCATCCATGCTTTTTGAGTGTGACATAATGACCTCTAATTCAATAAGCAACATTCAACAGATTCAGCAGAACTGGTGATTCAATTTAATGTTCAATTTAGGAGCTGCAGAGAAAACAAGAGCCCGCATTGCAAAAGATTCCTGAGGCTGAGGCGCCCACCCCTGATCCTGACAGGTTATTATCTTTAAATGGTCAACAGTGATGTCTTTCAAACATTAAACCAGATTGAAGTAATATTCCTGGTACTCCATGTAAATGTATGTAGTAATGTAAAGCATGTCTGTTTCTCTTCAGCGAGGAGGATGAAAGCGGCTCCAGTGAGGTTTTGCTGGCGGAGGTGAGGAGGCTAGAGGAGGCTTTGGAGCGCATCAGAGATGATGTGCAGGGGCTGGTGGGATGCAGAGACAAATGTGAGCAGCTGGCCTCCTTTTCAAGCTCAGTAAGTGCTCTGTGCCATCTTATCTATAGTGTTTGCAGTGCCTAGTTTTTATACCTGACATTAACACTCTTATTGTTTAGCCCTTGTAATGCAAGAAACGTTTAACCTTTCTAAAAACCACCTAGTTTTTTAGCCTGACGTCGTCATACTCGGATTCTAGTCAGAATGCGAGTCTGATACTGCTCCATTGGGCTGTGATTATGGGGCGTGTTTCAACCGAACCAGGAAAGAAAATGCCTCCACTCAATTGGATAGACCTACAACCAATCAGAGCAACGGACAAAATCCCGGGCTTTCGAAAAGCAGCTGGCAGCGACCACTGGTTATGTCCACCTCGTCGTGCATGCCATATTGCATCGCCGTGATGCCCATTTCGGTTGCTTCTTTCACTTTGTTTCTCCTTTGGTCGCACTCATGGAGGACAATGACCATAGGGTTTTCATTGCGCCCCATCTTCTTAGCGACCATCGGAGCCAGCTGATAAATTAAACTTTTGCCGAATCCCGTAGGACGGCAAAAACATATTTCCGATCGACAAATGCCTTGATCTCGGTTCCTCTTTTAAAATGAATGCGCTGTCTACATCTATAACGGACGCGATGGCTGAATCTACACCTCTAAATTCTCCAGCGGCAGCCATTCTTTATTGTAAACGAATTCAACCCAAGCGCTCTTTGGTGACGTGGATGATTACGTTACTGTTGATCGTCTGTCCATCATCGTATAAAGCCCACCCTGACAATTTGATTGGTCCGAACAGCTTTTCTTCGGGCATACTTACTTCTCAACGGATCAAGTCCAGACCGAACTTCCCATCCTCAAATGTTGTGGGCGGGGCTAAGTTCGGCTGGCATCCAGGCTACTAGCTTTTAGTGTGCAAACCAAACTTTGAAAATGTGTCGAGACCGCTAGAATACACAATTTGTTTTCAACATATAACCAGTTTTGTCCTGGATATCAACTCTTTTTGTGAATGAATGAATGGCCAAAACGCATCCGGTTTCCGATTTTAGGTTGTTTTTTTTTTTGTTTTTTTTTAAAGGGTGTTAACCTATCCTCCTCCAGTTAAGAGACAGAAAATGTGCAGAGTGGTGGGTCCCCAAGACCAGGATTAAAAACACTGCCTTCAGGACTGAATTTTGTTGAATATGAATATGCATGCACAAACACATTTTTACAGACAACAATAACACTAAAAATGGAACAAATTTAGGTGACATTTCATAAATCTGAACTTTTGTTCCACGCCTTTAGGCTGTGGATCATATTCAAATTTAGACACTTTGGTATCTGTATCATAAGGAAAGTAGGTCTGAAAAAGTAGAATATTTTCAAACAAAATATTTTAGAGTAATATTTGTTTTGTTAGAAAAATATGTAGGTTTCATACATTTGGACCGTTTTTGAGCAGTCACTAGTTAAATTCCATTGATTGAATTAATCTGTGATTTAATACTGGTAAATCTCCTATTATATGGTCTTATAAATTTCATATAACAATATATATTCAAATAAAATGTATTGCATCACATTTGCTTTGAAGTAGTTGAAACAAGTATTATTTGAAGTTTCAAAGAATATCTTTTCTCTTTTTTTTGACAACTAAAAATGAGATGACAACTAAACAAGAGTCTAATATACCAAAAGGCAGATCCGCCTGAACCGTCTTAAATGGTGTCCTAACTCCTGGATCTGTTCTCTTGCAGGTGTCGGAGCAGGTGGAAAGGGAAATCAAGTCTCTGTTTTACGGCAGTGACCGAGCAGCAGAGCTGGAGCTTCCTGAATCTCTCCTGCAGTGGCTCTCTGATCACTTTGTGAGCACCACCGAACTGCAGGCTTCACTCAGCGTGCTGGAGAGCAGCATTCTGGGTAACCTGTCCCTTCAGGTAGAGGAGGGCAAGTCAAGGCCTTCTAAAGAGACAATCACTCGGACTGTACTACAAGCCACAGGGGAGGCAGGCCTCTCTGAGGAAGTAAGCTTTTGAGAACTTGTCTTTGAGAATGCTAATAAGTAACCCATTATAGTCAGATATGTAATGCTGCTTTTGTGTTTTGTTGAATTCTTTCTCCACAGCATGTAGAGTTGATTGTCAACAATGCAATGAAGCTCTACTCTGAAGACCGCACTGGTCTGGTGGACTATGCATTGGAATCTGGAGGTATAGTAATGATGTTAACTATGGATGGATTTTAAATTGTTTTTAAAAGTTTTTCGCTTATTGTAGGACTGTGCAATTATGTACAACTATTATGTAATCGCCACGGGCCAATGGTAGTGCAAAGGTGTTTAATAGCCGAAGCAAACTTTTCCAGAACTCTCAGAACTAACTTCAAATGAAGTTCGTTTTGGCCTGATTTTGTTCGAAATGTCACATCAGTTCGATCTTCAAGTCCTTCAGACTGACGGCTCCATTGCAGCTTTCATTGGCCAAGGACAACCCAAGAGGACATGGACAAGTATTAGTTGCTTCAATCGCAGTTCGTTTTCTTCAGCGTCATGTTTAGTGGCTTGAAAATATAAAGTTGATGAAAGTTAACATTTTTCTGCTGATCTCCCGTGTTACACGTCTCCCTGAAATCCTGTAGAATTCAACCAATCACATGACGACTTTGAATCTCGTGTTTACTTTGAAAGTGTTTCCCATTTTGTATGCCTTGGCCTCAGACGTCACGCCCACAGACTGTTGGCTGAACTTCTAATGCATGATACTAGCCTAAATATGACAAGATCTGCATTTCTTTGTGTCTGTAGGAGGCAGCATCATAAGCACTCGTTGCTCAGAGTCCTTCAACACCAAAACAGCACTGATGAGTCTGTTTGGCCTCCCGCTGTGGTACTTCTCTCAGTCACCACGTGTAGTCATACAGGTCTGAAACCTTTGAGAATTCTGATTTCATGTGTATTCATTTGTAAACTCAAGCTTTGATTTCCAATGGTCACTTTCTCTTGTCTTTATCACTGTTTCTCTTCATCCATTGGTCCCTACAGCCAGACGTGCATCCTGGGAACTGCTGGGCATTTAAAGGTTCATATGGTTATCTGGTGATCGGCTTGTCCATGAAGATTGTGCCTACAGCCTTTTCTCTGGATCATTTGCCCAAATCCCTGTCGCCCACCGGCAACATTAGCAGTGCCCCACGAGACTTCAATGTATATGTAAGTACACATGGAATTCAAATAATATCAGGGTTTCTACATCTCTCCAATGAATATATTCTATGAATAAGATGTGTTTTTAATATATTTTTTTAGCAATTTTTGCAAATAACATATTGTAGAGTAAAACTAGAACAATATACACTACCAGTCATTTGTTTGGAATAATTGTTTTGCTTTTGAAAAGTATCTTTTGTTCAGCAAGGCTGCATTTATTTGATTGAATTGACCAGTAGTGTATATCCACTGTAGAAATTATTAATATCCATAATTTCCCAAACCTAGAAGTCAACCCTTTTTTTTTTTTTTTTTTTTTATTATATAAAGTTTCCTGGTTTTCAAATGTCTACAGTGCTGGGTAGATTGCAAATTGTAGTCCATTACACATTTTAGGTAATGTAATTTGTATTCAGTAATGTAATAGATTACGTTACTAATTAAAGTTTGTATAGTGTAATCTGAATACTTTTTGATTACTTTTGACCTGACTTGTTTATAACATTGATTTGAATATAATATAATGTATTTGTTCTCTAACTAAAAAAAAGATTAATTTTTTATGCTGTGCTCTCAATTTACCATGAATTTATAGTCGCCTAGCCTGACTAGTGGCTGATCTGTGTGTGCAATTCCACAAAACTTTTGATAAAGAAATTTAAACAATAAAAAAAATTAGGAAGAATCATTTGTTGCCATTTTTATGAATTAAGTAATAATGAATTCAATAAAGTAACTGTATTCTTACATAATTAAAGCATTTAAATTTTGGATCTGATTACGTAATCCAGGTTACATATAATCAGTTACTACCCAGCACTGACGAACTACTTTCAACATATTAGACAAAGGAGGACTTTTATCTTGGGGTCAAAGTAAAAAAAAAAAAAAAGTCTCTGTTCTGTTAAAGGGTCTTGATGATGAGCAGCAGGAAGAGGGGCAGTTGCTCGGACAGTTTGTCTATGAAGAAGATGGAGATGCTCTTCAGACCTTCTTGGTCTCTGTAAGTATTGTGATTTTTGTTATTTCAGTCATTTAATCAGCCTGTTGCCACATAAATATTAAATCAAGGCGTAACTGATTGGCTGATGGACTGTCATGAAGGATGCTTTAAGGAATGGTTTCCCCAGAAATGAAAATTATGAAATTTACTCACCCTTTACTTTAAAGATGAAAGAATACAAGGGCATGTGAATTAAAAAAAAAAAGTAGTTTAGCCACCTCTGGTGTTGAGATGGTGTTTATTTGTAATCTTTATTGGATTTTGATGACTCTTGCCTAAACTTGTAATTCTGTATCTCTGTCTTCAAGGAGGAAGTGACGAGAGCTTTTCAGATCATTGAGATGAGAGTGCTGTCTAACTGGGGTCATCCTGAATACACTTGTGTGTACCGTTTCCGGGTGCATGGGAAGCTTGTTGATGAATGACTTGCAAGCACTTGGGACATTATGAACTCCTGACAATTGTCACTCATGCACTGGAAAAAAGAGGAATAGTCACTCTTAAGAAACAAATAATGTGCCATAGAGCTACACAGTTAATATACGATTGCATGCTGGTACATGTACTGTTAGGCCTCAAGGTCACACTCAGCACTTGCACTCGTCTCATTCTGATGCATCACACTGTTTCCAATTTTGTCAGTCATCAGGGTTATGCTTTTTTCATTATTATTATTATTATTATATCTGTTAGAATTCACCAGCAAAAAATGCATGACAATTCTACAAACAAACCAGTGAAGAATGTATTTTAGACTAAATGTAAATTTTGTTAATAAGTTCTTCAATTTTGTGCTTTTTGTTTTCATTTTGTTTTTTGCTAGCTGATATGTGCCCTATTTAAGAATGGCTAGAGAAATATAACTATTTATTTTTTGTATTTAAGTTGATAAGGTGAGTTTGGATATTCATGATCTTTATGCAAAGGATTTTGTAATTGCCATGTGATCTTTATAGGTTGGCTTTTCAAATAAAATTCTATTTTTTATTATTTTAAAAAAAGGATTGGGTGCATTTATTGTGGATAAGGTGGAGCAGTCATTTTTGACAGGAAAAAATAGAGAACAGCCTACTTAGTGCTGATAAAGTCTTTCTGCTTTGTGGCAAACTTCACTGCCGTCCGATCAACAAAATAATTAGTTATGATTAATTATGTGTAGCATCTGTATTATTTTTAACCAATCTTTAGTTTAAAAAGGTCAAGTGCTCTAAACAGTAGACTTGCACTAAGAGTTAAGCACTATACTGAGACTTTTTAATATGATGTTCCACGTCAAAAATGAAACACTAAAATCATCCTTCAACTCCCTTCATCCTCAAACTACATTTATTCCCAAAATGCTGGCAAAAAATATAATTTATTAATGTAATTTAATAGTTAACCCTATAAAGTCTATTGCATCATATTTGATATCAGGATATCTGAAGGCCTCTGAATTGTCAGCATGATCAACTTTGCTGAAAAAACGGTTGTATACAATCTACTAAATGCCTTCTGTTGTATGTTTTTTTATTTTTTTAAAGCAAGTAAAAGGCCTTTTGGTATAATTGTAAATATGTCCATCTTTAGGTTGTGGCTTTTTGCAGTGAATTCTTTTTTTACTGACTTTTATAAAGTAAATATAAGAATACATATTTCAAGATGGAGATTAACTGGATTGAAGCAACTATGGTTTACTTGATTACCAATAAAAACATTTTGGTAACACTTTACAATAAGGTTCATTAGTTAACATGAACTAAGAATGAACAATACTTCAGCATTTGTTAATCTTTGTTAATGTTAATTTCAACATTTACTAATACTTTATTAAAATCTTGTTAACATTAGTTAATGCACTGTGAACTAACATGAACAATGAATAGCTGGATTTGTATTAACTAACGTTAACAAAGATGAACAAAAACAGTAACAAACTTTTATCATAAAACTAAGCATTTAAATATGATCTTACTGAGACATATTATTTGGAATATAGTGACAACTGATATTTATTTGCATTTTATGTTAGTAGTCTGCCATACTGTTATAAAAAAAAATCTCATTGTTTTACATTACAGGCGATTTCAAGAATTTCATCTTACTTTTTGGCCATAAAAAGCACCATATCTGCACCAATGTTTATTTTTTATTTTCTCAAAAGTTTGGGCCTCTGAATAAAACTGTTTTCTCTCCTGGAGTGTGAACACCAATGTTCTCCTAGATCATATACTATATGAGCCATGAAAGCCTGATGTATCAAATTATGAAGAAAATACATGTACACTTAAAACAAAAAAAAGGTTTTGTCTAAAGGTTCAATAAACCATTATTAATAATTATTTCATATGGCAAGATTTACTGAGTTAAAGTCTAAAACTAAAATCTAATTCAAAAAATGTCCTAATTTGAGGCAGGCCTGATGCAATTGTTGCCAACAACAAGAAACATGAAAAGATAAACATGGAGGTGATGGACTGGAAGAACCACATCTGTGAACTTCACTGTTATGAACTGCATTGAATGATTCACTTTCTGCTGCTGTTCTAGGTAAACCATTAGCTTATTCAAATTGATTCACTTCATATTACACGTGTTTTATGTTTTCATAGTCAGGAAGAGTCAACTTTTAGTTTGCAAACTTTTTTATTTACACAGGTTAAAGGTGAGGAGGGACGATGATCTTCATTAGGAGGAGTTGTAGTTGCGGTTGTGCTTGTTGATCCACAAGTGCTTCAGTTTCGGATCGTTCATGTAGCGTTCAAGCAGCAACTCATTTTCTCTTCGCTCCTCTTTAATTCTTTTCTTCTCCTCCCGTTTCTTGGCCTTCTTCTCTGACCAGGTGAACAGAAAAAGGGTCACTTTTCTTGTGCACTTTTTCTGGACGTTCACCTTGTGCTGGGTCTCATTCTTGGGACCGTCAGGAGAGGCTACACAGAAGAGCCTCATCATGTGCTCATCGATCCGAGAGGCCTCATCCGAATGGCCTTGCATGGCCTTGGAGTCTCCCATTTCACTGTGGTCATCTTCCTCTTCCTCAAATCCCTGGATCTCCTCCACTTTGCTCGCCCACGCTTCCTCCTGCACCTCACTGTCCTTCTCCAACCAAGCAAACATCTTTCTCGGTTTCATTTCAGGCGTTTGGGAGCGTTCAGACTTGAGTAAGTCGCTGGCCAGGATGGTCTTCCCTGTGTACTCCACGTACTCGTTCTCCTCATCCTCGATGTCAACCAGCATGAGTTGTGGAGGTGTCTTAAACGGGGAAGCAGTGAACGGCTGAGGCTTCCGGCTGGGAGGATGTCTCAGAGCAACGACATCATCAGGTGCATGAGTGGGGCTCAGAGGAAGTCCTTTGGGAGGAAGAGCGTCGGATGGAAAACAGTGCATCAGGTGCTGGAGTGGGACGTGGAGGAACCGCCAATGGAACCATCTGTGGTTTCGCAGAACACACTTGGGATGAAGAGTGTCGGATGGAAAACAGTGCATCGGGTGCTGGAGTGGGACGCAGAGGAACCGCCAATGGATGCATCTGGGATGAAGAGCGTCGGAAGGAAACAACTTCATCTGGACACGAAGGAGCCGCCGACGGTTTGGGAGGATCCACTTGAAGCGGAGAACATGGCAGGGATAACACATCCTCAGGTGCTGGAACTGGTTTCTGAGGATGCACGGATGGTTTTGTCACTGGCGGCAGGGGTTTGAAGCGAGGTAGAGCGAGGTGTCCGGAGACACTTGGAAGCATTGGGAGTTCTCCCTCTATTGGCTTTAAAAATGAAGATCTGGCTGTAGAATGCAGAGGTTTGACCTCCACAAGAAGTGGCGTTGGCCCTGTGATCTTCCGTTCTCTCTCCTTCCTTTTCTTTTCTCCAGCTTCTCTATGTCCAGCCGCTAATTCTTGCTCTGCACACTGCTGTTCTCTCTGAGGTGTCTCCCTTCTGCGCAAGAAGTGAGCAAAACACTCAAACAGTTGACTAAATACACTGCTAAACAGCACCATTGTGGGCACCAAATGCTGCAAGTGAATTCAATAATTGTCGTCAATATCTGCAGAAAGTCTCAAAAGTCTTTCGATCTATGCACTCCTAACACACCAACAGCAGACCAGAGTCAAAGTTGCAGTTTACAGTTGCCAAGACGAAATCTCTCTATGATGTCACCACAGTTAGAACTCTGAAATGTCTGAGCAGCTCCAGAAGCAAACACACACATTCACACACTACTGGCACCAAATCAAATACTGACTGTTTCCAAACAGTTTCCCAAACACTCCTTCCAATCACTGAATATTAAACTGAGACAGTGGAAATAAATGTTCCCTGGTTTTAGTTTCATATTTAAAAAGTAGCCTATTATTTCTTTTTTTTTTCAATCAATTAATATTCTACATTAAAACTGTTATATTTAAAACATTAATCTCCTAACATAATTTATGCACAGTTTTGGGTAAGTTTCTCTAAAAAAAAAAGTATTTAATTACTAGCTACTAATTACATCTTCAACAGTGTAATTAGATTACTACTAGGCTAATTACTCTCTCTCTCTCTCTCTCTCTCTCTCTCTCTCTCTCTCTCTCTCTCTCTCTCTCTCTCTCTCTCTCTCTCTCTCTCTCTCTCTCTCTCTCTCTCTCTCTCTCTCTCTCTCTCTCTCTCTCTCTCAAGTATCCTATTCCTTTACTTAATTACTAATTATTTTCTAAATCCCATATCAACCTCGACCAGTTGAACAATGCAACTTGAAACTGCTCTTTTAATTCTTTCAAATAAATAATATAAAAGTGCGTTTTATTCTTGAACTGACCAAAGTATTTAAAGGGAGAAGGTTACATACAATTTTTACATCTTATGTTAAAATGTTATGTTAAATCTATTGTTTTATAGCCTATAGATGTCTATACAGCATTTGATGGAATTGAATCAGGCATTAAATTAATTACAGTTACTTCCGATCATGCAAGGCATGAAAGTTTTGATAATATTTATAATCGAACTAGGACTGTTCCTGGTTAGTGTGAGACGTAGATCCTCTCCAGTCCATCAAGAGGCAGCAGAGAGTGTGTTTATTGTTTGGGACGGGTCGGTCGGGATCTCGGGATGTGTGTGTGTGTAGGCCATAGACTTAATTGTCGTGGAGAGCGCACAGCGCAGTGCACGGTTGCATAGCAACGAAAGACGCCACGGGAAAATCTGACCGAATTTTACTATTACTAATAAAATATAAGCTAATGTGCATTGTAAATGTCAGTAATTTATCTTTTTTTGACTCATTCTTTTTATAAAAATGATTTAAAGGCTGAAATATGTGAGGTTTATCTTTTTATAAAACCTTTTTTTGTCAAAACTTTATTTGAATTTCATTTTACTCTATGTGCCAGGGATGGCAGGGGTTGGTGGCAATGTAAGTAACTCACCGGTATCTGAATATTTGCCGCGGCGCGAGGGCTTCGATTACCTCTCTCTTTTTTGACCATACATGTGTTTGCATCCCTGGTGCGTTTTATATTTAATGAGGGAAATAGACATGCATGCGTGACACAAAACATCTTTAACTTTTAGGTAGCAACATATTTTTTTTTAGAAAATTCTATAACGTCACTCATAAATCATGACATTTCACACGACCGCTATCTCTTGAGTTTTATTAAAAATCTTTAACTTTTAGGTAGCAAAATATTTTTTAGTATTTCTGTCAATTACACTAAGGTTAGATTTCATTGAAGGTAAATTGGAGCGGCCACACTGAGCTGTCCGTGTGAACCCAAACGCTGTGACCTCGCGCCAAATGTTTTTATTGGTTTATTAACTTAAGTTCAAACAGGCGAGTTATGAAAAATGAGTGTGAGGGATTTGTTCACTTCACACATAAATATCTTGGAATGAGATGGCTAACTGTAGTAGCGTTTAGTCCCCTGTCTATAATAGCCTAATTTAGAGATCACCTTTTTTTTAACCGACAACTTTAATCGGTTAACGTTGAGACGGTCAACCATCGGTAACGGTCATCGGACGGTTACATCCCTATCGGC